TTCACAACAAAAAGGACACAATTCGTTAGCAACAGAATATCTAAATCAACACTTAATATTAGGACTTCAAAATGATAAGAAGAAAATCAATCGCTCCCCCGTCCATCTACCTAGGAATGATCACCAAAAAACAATCAATAAAAAACGATGTCAAGTGAGTACACGCTAGTGCAGTTCTTTCCTAACCTCACGTCGTTATCACTCTCTTGGATGAAGTGTGTTAAACTGAAATTCAGCTAACTTGTTTGTAGTGTTTAGTTAAAAGGCTTTTGTACCAAACTCCATTGTTTTAACTTACAGTCAAGGTCTGAGAAATGCCGCTGAATATGTTCATAGCAGGAATATTGTATCTTAGCGAATTATTTCCAAGAATTTCGCGATAATGTTGAAGTACTTTGAGACAAGAGATTTTATACTCATATATATATGTAGTCAGAAATTGCTTCCAAGAATTACCAAATTTATCAACGTTACTAAAAGTTAAAACACCAAAGTAATTAAACTAAACGGGTTACGTCTTACATCTAAAAATTATTTGAGGATACCACATTTTTATTACCTGAAAATTTAACAGTAATTTAAACAAAGATGCGCAGAGAAGGAAATGATGAAGAATTATTTCTGATCTGCTACTACGAGTTGATCGTTTTAAAGAAAAAATCAGTTGTGCCATTGGATTTAATAGCAATACATCACATATTGGTCTTAAATATGTTTCAATATTCTTTTGTTAACAGTAGATTTTTGAATATGTTGAACAGTTTTTTTCTTAAATACGCGTCATTGTATGGAATTATAAATAAATTGTAATTAAATTGTACGAAGTGTAAAAAAAAATTACAAATGATGACGTTAATGTTACGACTTCGTAAATAAAACCGTAAATTTTACTATCTATTTTTAAAAAGACGAAAGTGCTGGACAAGAAAAATCACCTAAATTTAATTTCAATTAAGTAGCTGGTTCTCTGCCTCACTGACAAACTATAACAAAACACTTGTTTTTAATCATTTTATCTGAAGCTTCAAAAACCCATTATCTTCGTCATAATATCGGATACAGTGAGTCCGATTTGAGAAACAGCGCTTTACACTTCAAGTTTTTTGTATTTTGCTCGTTTTCACGAATCATCTAAAAAAGAAAACTTTAAAACTTTTAACTTAAAAAAGTGGAACACGATTTGGCTGCTAGTAATTTTGCTTAGTGGAGATTTAAACATGCTAGATGTCTATACCACTTTCACATCAACTTATTAGATAATGTTACAGCAGAAATTTCAACTCTAATTATTATAAACTTTTGATCAACTACATTTACGTTATTTTCAAACCAGCATTGTTCTGGTAATTACGAAGAATAGATCACTTATTTTTTGCAGATATAATAGTCCACAAACTCTAATATTATATAGACATTTTATATTAGACATGATCCTATTGTGAAAAAGTTAAATATTTAAACACCCGGACAAAAACGATCGGATGAGGGTAATGAAGCCCACGGATGCGTCTTTGGATTTGGGTATTGCACAGGTTCGGACTCTGTAAATGTGAGATAGTGAGAAATAAAATCGATAAGTTGAATTATTAAGTTCCTAACTTGATGACAAAAAACATTTTTTAAAAAGAATTAATTATATTTGGCACATTAGAAATCAAGTTCAATTCCAATTTGATCGGCTATCATTCTATTATTAGTATTGCTAGTATTCTACAATTTGGCGATAAGAATTAAGAAAAACCTGTTTTGTTTTGAGAAAGACCAAGAAGACAAATCTTAACGCCGAGAACACAAATTGAGGAGAATTTTGGCGAAAAGTCAGCAAAAGTTTGTAGTACTATTGGTAGTATTGAAGAATATGTTGTTAACCAAGGTTTAATTTATTTGAAATTATTAAAATTTAGCAGCCCTGCAAGGGGGACAGTATTTTAATAAATTAGAGTTTAGTCAAGCTTATAACCAGTTAACAAGTTGATAAAGAAACAGATAATCTTCTAGTTTGTAGTACTCATAGCACTTTATGTTGGTAAAACATTGGGTTTTGGCGCTAAACCAACGTGTGCACTTTTTCATAAGTTATTCAAAAAACTCTTCAGGGTCCTAAAAGTACATTTTCTTTCTTAGATAATATTTTAGTGAACTGGTAAAGATTTTGAAGAACACTTGGGTAACTTGAAGAAAGTTTTTTCTGGATTGAAATCAGGAGATTTTGTTTTACACAATAATAAATGTTTATTTATTTAGGATTTGTAATTAAAGCTGAAGGAACTGAAAAATATAATAGTAATGTAGAAACAATTCATGAATCATCCATCATCCAGTGTTTAGCAGAAAATAACGTTAAATCATTTACAAATGCATTTAAAAAGGCGTCTCTGGATTTAAAAATCGGGAAGAGCAGTGTAGATAATTTACGATGAGAAAAACGTCCTTTTTGTCGACAGGGGCTGCTAAGTAATAATCCTCACATTATTATGGGAGTCAATATAGTGTCCTAGTTTGTGGACTACCGTAAGTCTGCTCTATAATTAAAAGTTCAAGTTTTAATTATAAGTTATAATTGAGATTGTGTTTGTTCAAATATGCACTTTTACCCAGAAATAAATTTTACTGAAACAATTGACCGGGTTTTGATTTGTTTAAAAACAAAACATCGTTGCAATATTTTTACTGCCACTAACATTAACAATTTTAGCGAAATACAATTCACGTGTTTTATGTACATTTCCATAACTTTCAGCCACACTTTTCAAACAGTTACAGGAACATTGAACTTTGGAAAGCAAACCAGAATTAATTAGCTCCAATGAATCGGTAACCTCTGAATAATTCAATATCTTATTCTTCGATATGCAGAATGATTTAAGTAAGCCCATAATGAATAATCTATTGGATTTAAATTACCCTGGGACCCTAGATGAAAATACCCGAGCTGGAAACATTACAGAAATATACATCTGATTAATTTCCCTAAATCTACACTTAAGGTACGCCGTACACACCTCGCCTACACTTAAGTCCCGTTGTCGGTTAGAATTTAGCGATAAAGCAAAATGCTAATACGAATTTAATTAACACGGAATCTTCAATAAAACCAAATAAAACGATCAAGATGCACTTTAACACGAGAACGTTTAACAATTTCTGAATAACATAAACGATAGATAAACTTTATAGACACTTGAGGGAAATTTTGATGGCAAATTTATCGTCTGAGTTAGTTCGATTATAGGAATGAAAATTGGAAAAAGCATTTTACGACAAATTTTCTGCAATGTCCACAAAGCCACAAACTGTAAATCATAAAATTAACCCATCCGTCCGAAAGACCGTAACAGTTTCGGGGAATATAAAATTTAAATAAAACCGCCTAAACATCAAGGCGCTAAATTCATCCCGAATCAATAATCCTTGTATCCTTATAAAGTTATTGTCATATTTCAGGACTGGCAGCTATTAATTTTTACGATGATTATAGAGTTATTACCAGCTTGAAAAAATTGCTGACGGACTAAGAATAATCGGAACGTAACTGCGTTAGAAAGCTTATTAGGCGCCATAAATCGAACAACTTCTCACCAATAAATCTTACTGTTGCAGGTAACGGAGACTGAAAACACACATAAAGGCACTTTTTGTCTGTGTGACCTATATTAATTACAACACTGAAATTAAGAACGTTTTGAAAAACGATGGACATACTTTTTTATTCCAAATATGTTTAAAATTGGGGTTCTAGAGTCAAAGTTAATAAATTAAAGAGCGACGCGTGTAAACATGTTGGGGGTCGCTGATGTCGGATGCATATCGGCGTTAACCATGGTTGAAAACGACATAATAGAGAGAAACTTGAACACAATCAACAACATGTGCTACTTTTATGAACTGATACTGAAATGATGGACAATAGCGCAGCATTGTTTTCATCGTAATTGGAAGTTGTTTCACGAAAAATAAACGAAGAACTGTGTGAATATTCATAAATTCCACACTCATTTTATTCTGAATTTCGATTTTTTTGCACTTAAAAATATTGACTAGCACAGAAAATTGTATTTTTAATAAACACTTTTAGTCACGGTAATTGTCAAGTGTGGTCATTTTTGAAAAAAAAAGATGATAGACATTCACTATTTTAAGTGCTTTCACCACGTCCTTAAATTTTTGTTGTGGCTAAAGTTGGTTAATAGTGTTAGAGTCATCAATCTACGATCGGAAGTGAATTGTGGTGACCTGTCAAAAGCCGTAACATTTTCGCATTACTGAAAGTAAGGGCAAATTGCCTAATCCTTGGTTCATAAAAAAGATCGAGACATTAGTGGCTGAAGTAAATTTGACAAGACGTGATACATTACGCCTACCTCTTTTGATAATGAGAGTGGTTGCTTTAAAGATTATATTTCAGTATAATCATATTTGACACAGGGCGTCAAAATGGGGCCGGTGGCGGCAAAAAAGGGGTGGCGGTAACGCCGATATGATCGCTAAGGGAACGAAACTGAAACGCGCTCTGAATGATATCAACATATTGACATGGTAATAATGGCGAGGGCATAAACTTCCCATGTTTTCCTTCCCACAATTTGACTCGGGAAGCTCTTCAAGGGATGTTTACCAGTCGGTTTTTTCGAAGGCTTAGTTGCGGTCGCGTATAGAGGTATACAGTTTTTTTTCGTTCGGGACACTATTTATCAATCCATCACGGCCGTGTTGCAAACAAAAAGAGAAAGGATTTTTATTTGGAAGATGTCAGCCGCAAAGTAAAGAATCGGTCCAGGACCGTCTCAATTATTTCTCGTGACAACGCGGGAAAGAAAAAATTAATTGATCGAGTCAGGACATAAATCAAAATGGTATCATTCCGGCAAAGTTTCGCTTTGTTGCCTTGTAAAACTCGAGCGAGAATTTTACAGCCATTTTACACTTCTTTGAGCACTTTGTTTAGCACTTCGGCCAATTCACATCACGTTACATTTAATGTTTCCATATTTCAGACTTACGTTGCTATCGTCGATTTTTATCTCTTCAACTTGTAGAAGAAAGTTCCCCGACGAACTTCCAACCTTCTTTCATCACCTGAATATTTCATAAACTCACGTCAAAAATTCCAAAATTTCTCACACGCAACCGTCGAGCATTGTCCTCGACCGCACTTTCGGAAAAAATCCACCGAGCGCACTCCTGCTGGACAGGTTCGCACCGGCAAGTTTCAGCAAAGTGGTCTCGCGACACTCGTATCTTCCTGCAGGCTCAGCAGGACGTTCCAAGACAGGAGAACGCGACGACGCTTCCCCTGCAACTAAAGTTGCGTCGGGACGCCACCCAACATAAAGCCGTGTCGGAACGGACGCAAGCGCCCTAAATAATTCTTGTTGATGGTGTTCTACAACGCGAAAACTCGCGCTTTAGACGCATTACCGGAAAACCGGCGGGACGGAAACGTCGCATGTGACACGTTGCATGCTGCAAAGATCGGCTAAGTTTCTGAAAAGGTGGCTTTGTGCTGATTCCGGAGATTTGCTGAGAGTGACCCTAATTCTTTAAGAAGAAAGCGGGCTTTATACACAGATGCTCTCGGTAAAGCACGAATTTACAAATTCTCACGGTAAATCGTAAACTTGCTGAAATGCGATTTAAATTTATGTAATTTTGACACTTGCAAGTAATGTATACCATGCAGTGTAGTAACGTATTGTTGGTATTTAATATTGTTAATCCTGAAGGAAGAAACGTACTTCATTTTCGAATAATGAGCCCAAAACCCTTTACTGCTGGATATCTGAGACTGTAAGGCTTACTCACCTTGGCAGCCGCAATTACAAGTATGCGGTGTGGAGGTTTGACGTAGCGTGTCAAACATGAAAGAGTAGAGAACCCTTAATCTCTTAATTAAGCTGTTTAACAATAATGATCAGACTCACGGCAGGTATTGTTTCCCCGACACGGCAATGTCTAAAGCCATAGCTCTGTTTTCTGGGATTTCGTTAGTGACAATTTCTGTGGAACCGTATAATTCTTGAGTGTACAGTTGCGGCCCCCCCGGCCCCCCAAAAGTGCACGATTTTTCGTTGTCATGGAATTTTGTGAATTTTTAAATTAATGTATTATCCATTCACGATCTTTATATAATAAACTAGGCTTTGATATTTTTTCCTTAAGTTGGATAAACTGATTTGATGATTTACAGGGTCATCAAAATTGATTGAGAGAGTTGGTACCCCCTGTTTTTGTCGTGAAGTTTGTCAACCTTATGACAGATTTGTTTAAGGTTATATGGCAATGAATTCAGTGGCGTGACAAAAATTAGAAACTTCAAATCTGACAACTAATGTTTTTACCAAAAAAAAAGTCGAAAAAAGACGCCACTGAGTTTTGAAATTTGAAACTTGAAACTTCAAATCTGACAGCTAATATTTTTATACAACTTAATAAACCAAATTATTCAAGTTCAGGTTTACCAACTCTCCCAATCAATTTTGATGACTCTGTAGTTTTTTGTCTGTCAGTTGTCTGATTGACATTTGCTTTGAGCTGGATTGCCACTTTTCTCCTTCATTTATTAGATCAGAATTATTAGACGCAATTTTTTAATCAAGAAACAAATGTTTTAATTTTGTCAGCATAGAAAATTTGTCATTGTGACAGATTCACAGATCATTGCGATATTATTTAAAAAGATGTTTTTTACAGTTTCGAAAAGATAGGTCCGATCTTTCTTTCGAAGAAGTAACTAAGAGGGTCTCGAACATATTTTCTCTAATGTAAAAATACGCTGCAAAATATTGTTTAATTTTTTTTTTTTCATTGGTGGGAACATCAACTGTGGTGAAAATTTTATCAACAGGGGACCAAAATTTCACATCACTATCTGGCAAGCGAAAACCAACGGATTTAGTTACAAATTATATGTTTCAGAAAGACCTGCAATGACAAATTTGGCAACTTAATGAAAAAAACGAATATTTCACTGTGATAAACTTTTGGTATATTCTAGAGAACAGTTGAAATTTAGAGTGGGGCGAACCACATTATACAAAATTCTTAAGTCAGTGGGTTATAAACACAGGGAAGTAAATGGTCGCAAAATTCTATGTGAACAAAAACATGTCGTTGCAGTCAAAATTACTTTTTTGAAAACATATTTACTGTTTCTAAATTCCTGTGAAAATTTGACCTTCTTGTATTTGGATGAAACATGGATCTATCAAAATGGTTCGTCCATTCGTCGCTGGGTGCACGATACTGATCTAAAAAGCAATCCCACCAAAATTAAAAGTGAAGGATCAAGGTTTACTATTCTCCACGCGGGTTGTTCAAGGAGATTCTTGGATGGTTCTAACAATTTTTTAAATTCAAAAAATAACGATAGAGACTATCATAAAACGATGGACGGGACAATTTTTCAAAAGTGGGTGGTTAATCAGCTTATTCCTGCTTTGGCAAAGTTGAACCAAAAATGTGTGGTGGTTTTAGACAATGCACCGTATCAATCGGTTTAGTTGGATAAACCACCCACTTTTTCTAGTAAAAAATGTGAAATGCAGGAATGGCTTTTAAACATAGTGTTGAATTTGACAAAAAATTTTAGAAGAAACAGTTGTGGGATTTAATTAAACCCTTCAGAAACAATAGAAAAAAAGGTATTTGGTAGACGAGACATTAAGAGAAAGTGGCCATGAAGTTCTTAGATTACCTCCGTGCCATTGTCAATATAATCCAATTGAAATGGCATGGGGATTTTGTAAGAACTGTTACAACAAGCATATAAATTCTCAACCTTCATTAAAAAATAGGATGGAGAATTTATGGCTTGAGGTGCTTTCTAAATGTACTCCAAGCATGTGGCAAAATTTTTGTAAACATTGTGAAAAACTTATTTTGGCAGATTGAGAAAAAATATGGGAAATCTTTTGTACGAATCTATACCTCCTTTCATTATTTCGCCAGGTGAATCTGATTCAGAATCTAAATTTGAAAATGACGGTGATGATACAGATTTTCATAGAGAAATAATGGAAATGGAGTGAATTGTAGCTTATCCGGGGGGTGATATATTTACGCATCTTTCGTTCTAAATTTACCAAGGTAGTATGTGAAAAACTACCTGACGTACAACAAAATAAGTATAATTTTAGTTAGATCATCCACGTTGTTACTTTGCACCAAATTTTAAGCATTTTCATTTTTTTTGTAATTCTTGGTGGACCTGGAGAAGGCGTATAGTAACGTTATTATTAATAGGCGTTTGGAAGTACTTAGTAAAAGCAAATAAAGAGCACTTACGTAAGCATTAGTAATAGCTATATAGATAAATCATTCAATTTAAGGCCGGAAAAATGCTTCAGAAGAGCTAAACCCATCAAAGCACTAGAGCAAGATTGCTGTCTTTTACCAACCCTTTTAGTAATCTTAGAAAAGTGAAAAAAGAAGTTGGAAGATATGGAAATAGGCTGTTCACAAAGGTCGAAATTTCCATTTCTAAGAAGAGTGGGCAAGCAGAACGAACTGATGATTGAGAATTAAAGATGAGATGCTAAATGTGGCATGCGACAATAGTCGTATATAGAACCCCATTCATATAAAAACAATGTTTAAGTGAAATTTTAGTGTTTGTTCCTTACATATGAAATAAACAATTACAAAAAGTCGAATTACTGTTTTAAATAGCGCACAGTTTTATGCTTTCTAAGAAATGGATACCGTTAAATTGGTCATTGCTACTGAAAACTGAAAGTATGGGCAACAATGTTTATATTTCTGGCATATTTTTTAACCTTTAATTTAATAAAACATAACCTAACGAAAAAAGTTCAGGGAATTTCTATTTTTCTGCATCGAATCCCAACAAACTCACTAGATTTTCATGGCCAAACCTACTATATAAAGATCGTGAACGGATAATGAGTCTGGTTATTACCAGTGGCGTAGCATTTTTAAATAAACAAAATGTCATATTTGACAAACTTTGTTATTCGAACGGCCATGATTTGTAGATACATTTACCATAGAGAAAATTATTCTGTACTTTTGGAAGGCCGTAACTGTATGTTTTGACTGCATACTGAAATGGGATAAACACGGCTATGAATTATCAAAAAGATTATGTAGAGTGACCTACTAAATAACCTACCGGTTACCAATCACGAACACGACTAGCCTGTTCTATTTTAGCTTGGAAAGATTAGCAAGGGTTCATGTTTCAAAGCAAAGATAGAAAACTTAAAAGACCGTGGTAAATGTCCTTGCGGCAACAGTAAAAATAAAATTCTAATAATCAAGGATTGGGGGTGAAGTGTAGTAGAAATATTTATGGTGAGTCCAAAATTGTTGGAATATCTGTAGATATGTATTTGCACCTATTTATTAATGTTAGTATTTTTCTTATATTTACATTCGTTTTTTTTTTTTAAACTTGACACCTCATAAAGTACTTAGTGTAAAGATGTAGTCAATTCTTAATAAAATCAATGCAACTGAAGTACTTACAACTGCAGATAAACCCCATATACTTAATATGCATTAGCAAACACTGATGTACAGTCGGTGGACATATAAAATTGGTACACGTAAAATTTTATCAATGTGTTGCAAGCTGCTTAATGTCAATCAATCAAAAATTTCATTTTTCATCTTGTTAGTTTCAAGTTTTGCAATAGAAATCTAAAAATGCTTTTAAGAATCATATAATTTGACAAAGACTTGACAAAGCAGTGCCTCTAAAAGCTACTGTCGACGAAATGCATGTCAGTAAAAGTACAGTTTTAATGGTGAAGAGAAAAATTGAAAATTTTGGGTCCATAAGACGCAAACCAGGCACAGAACGTCCAAAAATTACCACCGAAGATGAAGATCGTGTACACGTTTCAGACCTATGGAACATGGGTACAATAAAAATTTAATTTTAAATCACGATAAAACTGTTTGTATAAAATTCCATCATCACAGAAAAACTACTACATTAAATTTATTTGATCTTGAAGGAGTCCACTATATATGTTGAGAGTCAACTAAATTCCTGGGTAGCATAATAGGCACTAATTTGGAACCAACAAATAGAGTGTGTATGCAAAAAGCTCAATGAAGCTCATTGTGTCCTGAAATTAAAAAATAAACTGGGACAACAAAATTATTCGATATTTATTATGACACACTGGCATAATCTGCAATGTCTTATAATATTATGTCAGAGCTCTTGTCGCACGAGAAAGAAGGGTACTTCCGTAGCAATGGAATTTTTAACGTTTTTTAGTCTC